AAATAGAAAATGTACTTTGCTATTTGGAGGTTATTTTGCGAAGGAAATCGTAAAATTTTCTTGATTCCATGTAATAGTTCGCTAAATGCAGAAATTAGTAAACTAGAGGTTCGTAAAAGGAAGGTCCGACTGTATTGTATACCTTCTTTTAGCACACTGCCCCTATGCCACTGGATGGACCGTAACACATTGAAAATGTTAGAAGTAGCCCGTGTCCTGGAAAAGTCTGCCCACCTCTGCCGTACATGTACGACCACGTAAATAGTAACGGCAGAGCTGTGCTATAAATGTATCACGCGCAGGTTCCTGACCGACAAATGTTGGATCACAGATTTTTCAGCGGTCACATCGTCAACTTCGTGAACCCGTTCGTTCCCCGTCAAAAGACATGATACTGGTCGACAAAGAGCTGTACCCAGTCCAAGCCTGGAAGAAATCATCTTGAACGTTGTGGCTGTTAGACCAAAATCAGTACAAGAGCTGTTGCTCATTACTTATGAGTCATCACACCGTTTGTAGAGCGTTAAACGAAAATCACTTACACATCTTACATTTTCAGCGAGTACAAGCTTTGAATCCTGCAGTCTACCTTCACCGACTATCTGTGGGTTAGACACAGCAATGTTATCTGTAGCTGGACTTCATACTTCATGTGTTGAATAGTTATGAAGAGTTATTGTAAATAATACCCTTGTCAACAACTCTTTCAATAAACACTTTGTGTTTACGTTCGTCTCTTATTTTTTGTGTTTGTGTCTCACCACGTCACTTCAGCCCATATATTCTTACATAATAAATCATTGTTACAATATGTCCTGTACCTACCCTTAAAGATTGTACCACGAATTTGGGACCTCACTGTATAATTGTTTATTGGTATAAGAATTTGGGGGAAAACCTCAATGTAGAAACTAAGAGTCTTAAATGGAATTGGAAACCTCTCTCTCTATATATATACTGACAATGTTAAATTGGCTGTATTTGATGTACCTTTTCTCAAATACTGTTATATGTACATGTTTGAAATTTTTCATACAATTAAAGTACACCCTTTTCATTATAATGAAATGAGTTTTAGCCATCTTTAATTTTTTAATAATTTATGAAATATTTTGACAAACATTTGGTGAAATTTGACCCATTTTTCGACTAAAAATTTGTAAAGATAAATTTTTGAGTTTTTTACAGTGCCTATTTCCAGTATGAGTATTAGATATCATTATAAATATACTAGTAAAATTTATACCAGAACAGAAGTTTCTCAGAAATGTAATATCGATCATTAAAATTTATATTTTGAGATAAATTGATTTTAATGTATACAGTGAGACTTAATCATTAGGAAATAAAAATAAAAGACTCAATTTACAGTAAAGATATTGTTTTGCGTATATCAGACGTCTGGAACTTTAAGCATAAACGAATACTTGTTTGAGATTTTTCGCCACTAAATGGGCGTGGCGATTATTTAAAAAAATATAGTATTTTAGGAGTCAATTACCTCTAGAGCAGGGTCGGTAAGGCTCAGCCGCATGTGGCTCTTTTACCCTTGCAGTGGCTCTGCACAAATATCCATGAAAGGCGCAGTAATACTTTCTTATCAAAAATTTAGAAAAAAAATTAAGTATTCCTATTTTGATAAATTAAAATTCCTTTATTAATCATGAAATATTTTATGTAATTTTTGAAGTAGTAAAAGATAGATAGGTATTCAACATTTTATATTGTTGTAAGAATACGTAATGAATACATCGAGTTTAATTTATTGGTTTCAAACGTACAAACCAAGCTTACTGGGCTGAAATTGTTCGTATGTTTTATGTATTCGGGGTGTGATAAAGGGTACCTGCTGCTATGCGCGCATTACTTTTTCTTAACGTAGTCGGGGTACAAATTTGCATCAAGCAGACCAGCAGTTGCAGTGTGAAGAGTTTTGTCTTTATCTAATGTGCCGTTGCCCATCTTATTAAAGGTTGTATTTTTCAATCTAGCTGCCCATATCTTACAGGTATTTTTTGGTGTTGAACTTGGCCATATAATTTGCTATATATGTTTGTGGTTCCTCCGGTAGCTGTGTAAATTTTTAATCGATTTTCGATAACTTATCATTTATTATTCAAATGTTTGAAGTTTCTTCCATTTTTTCAGTCATTAAAAGTTTTGCTATTCTAATGATGGAAAGAATTATTTTTTTCTTTTTAGTGCAGTTACATATATTAATGGAAATTGTATTTTTAAAATATATTTTTTAAATTTTATTTTCATCAATTGAAATGATAATAATGTTGTAATTGGTGGCTTTGAAAAATATACTGAATATTTTTAGGCACCCTTAATTAACATGCATACTATAAAAAGGTAAAGAAAAACGAAGATGAAACTTCGCGAATTTAAAATTGAGGAATCGAGAATTTTGCGTGTATTCAAAACTTGAATGGATTTGAATGGAATGTCTTTATCGCGGTATGAGAAATTCACTGGTTACCAAGAAGTCAAATTTAGAGAGACACTTCACAAGAAAGCACACGTCATTTAGCACTAAATATCCTACCGGTGATGCAAGGAAGAAAGCATTTGAGGAACAGAAGAGTCAAGAGTAGCAACTTCTGTGTTTAATAACTGGATGCAATCTTCCAGCAATATTAATATGGCAAGTTTTGTTTTTAGCCAAGAGATTGCGCTAAGAGAGGGAAACCATACATAGACGGCGAATACATAAAAAATTGTTTTATAAATGCTTCTAAAGAGCTATTTCAGGATTTTAAGAACAAAACAGATATTTTGAAAAGAATTAAAGAGTTACCATTTCGCCAAAACCATTAAAAGATGTATGCACAACAATTCAAAATATGTTCGGAATATATAACTACCCAGCATATCAAAGATCTGAAATTGGTTTCTGGCTTTTAGCTGAATAGCAGTTGACGAGTCTTGTGACATAAATGGTACAGCGCAAGTTTCACTTTTTGTAAGATTCAGGCCTTAAAGAAGAATTTTGGTGATTATTGCCTACCAAAGGTCAGATTTGGTGGAGAAGATATCGCAAATGCTGTACTGAGTAAAATGATTAAACATCATATTCCCTCCATAAAATTGTGTCGATTTCTAATAGATGGGGCCAAAAAGTATGACTGGCGTAAGAAAAGGGTTTGTTGCTATTTTGAAAGAAAAATAAATCACGAGATACTTGTTTACTATTGTGTATCACTTCCAACAAGAAGCAGTTTTGTGCGCAAAAATTTCCTGGATGAAATTTGTAAAGCTATGGAATTTAGTGATTACCATTATCAATCATATTTTAGCTAAAGCTCTGAATCAATGCTAATTCAAAGAATTTTCTATGTGAAATGAAGAGTGAGTACGCGATCTTCGGCTTCATAACAAGGTACATTACATGTAAGAGAACGTTTAAAAGTTCTCATGTCCCTTTTTCCGGAAATTAAAGCATGAAGGGGCGTTACTATCCAGAACTAACAGACGATCAGTGGATCTCAAAAACTTTTATTCCCATGTAGATGTTACGTCTCATCTTAATCAGATTAATCAAAACTACAAGGAAAGAAAAACTTAATTTTTTTCTGATATTAGAAGAAGCACAATATTCGAAAACAATTTATCCATTTTGATCAGAGTTTTGAAAGGGAAGCATTGTTTACCTTTCCAAGAAATAGAAAGATATATCGCTGGAAAATATTTCCCTCTACAAAAATACAATAAACACCATTTTAAAGGCCAATTTTAAATATGAGTAAAGCTTACTTCTCAGAAGGTTTCAGGAATTCTAAAAACAGCAAAGCAACTTTAGTAGCATTTGTCAAAATCCTTTTAATGCAACGATAACTGAGTTTTAAATTTTCTCCTTCTTTTGAAATTCGAGCTACTGGTATTTAAAATACAATTGCTGGATTTAAAACAAGGAGATATGGCGCTCTAAATTCGAACGTCTTTGTGTTGAACTGGAAATTATTGAGCAGAAAATGTGATCTTAGTTCACAACACAAATAGTTTCCATTTTGAAATGACCTGGAGAAGGAAGACATGATACCTTTCAACGCTTGAATAGTATTCTTGACTCCATGTGATCAGCTGAAAAAGTCTTCGTATGTTCTTTTCTCTTTAGGTTCTGTATATATATATATATGCGAACAATCTTTCTGCCATGAAATACTATCAAGAGTAAATTGAGGAAGTCATCTTATTGATGAGAACTTGGAATCATGCCTAAAATTAAAAACAACAACATACAAGCTTGACTTACTGAAACATTCCAAGGAGATGCAAGCACATTGTTCGCATTAACAAATATTTATTAAGTATAAAATTTAGTTTTATTTAGGGAACCAATTTTGGTAGAAACGATCGGCTTCGATGTATATTCAAATACTTTATTTTCGTAAGCTCAGCATTTGCTCAAGTTGATGTATATAAATTTTAATACAGAGATGTATACATTGAAATATACAGGGTGGTCTTGGATTCATGGTACAAACTTAACAGGACAGCTAGGAACTGAGCATTGTACCAATCATTTATTGTATAGAAATGTATGGGCCAAGTAACGAGGTGAGGCACAAACACAAAAAATAATAAACCAAAGGAAAGAAAAAGTATTTATTGAAAGCATCGTTGAGACAAGTGTAAAGTTTACAACTACAAAATAGCGTCCCCCAGGAGCGATACATGTTTGATAACGTCGGTGGAGCGTTTGGCTTTTACATTCAAAGATGCCAGGTATTTCACGCGCAATGGGCGGCAGCTTCGGATTTCAAACAAAGATATCCTTATCTGAGTCAAGTAGTTGTTGTCGTGTGCTTATTACTGGGATACATACGAAATACGTGAGATAGATGAACAAAAACATATACCACAATCACAGAAGAATAAAGATTTTATAACAAACGATGATCCCAGCAAAGAATAGAAACGGTCTGCTGCTTTCTTTTCGAGAAGGGAATCCATTGCAGATAAAAATCCGATTTCTTTTCCCGAAGATACATCAATGCCTTACTCGGGATTTGAACACGAACCCACTCGATAAAAAGCCGAGTGTCATAACCACCATACTGTGTGAGGCGGCATCCGATTCAAATGAATCACATAAACAAGAGTATTCAGATGTCACCATAAAAAGCAATCGAAGTTCGATAAATCGAGATCGGTGTGGTCAAGGGACTAATTCTCCACGCCCAATTCATTGCGCCTCAAAAGGGGCATTCAGGTAAATGCACACATCAGAGATGAAGTGGGCTGGTGACCCATCATGCTAAAACCATAAGCTCTTACGAATGACGATTGGAACCTCCTGATGTAGTTCAGGTAACACATGTCCCAGAAATATAAGATAAAACTCGCCATTAAATAGCGTTGGCAGAAAGTATGAACAAATCAGAAAGTCGTTGACAATACCAGTTCACACATTCACCTCAGACTCGTTGTTGATACGCATGCTGCTTCTCGATTGCTCACACGTGAAAAATGTGCGTATTAAAGACACTCTCGGGTGTAAGCGTCACCTCATCTGTAAATAGCACATAAGCTATGAAGACCGACTGCATGCACACATTGCTGTATCAGCCACTGGCAGCTGCTTAGGTGGAGAGGATAGTCTGCCAAATTAAAATCTTGTACTCGCTGAAAATGAAAGGGGTGTAAGTGATTTTCGTTTAACACTCTACAAACGATCTGATGATTCCCACTTACGTGATGAGCAACAGCTCTTGTACTTGACTTAGGTCTGTTGTTGTTGTTGTTCATGCCACCAGCCTGACATAGTCAGATCGAGGCCCACGAAATTCATCGTGGCAATGGGCTAGAAGTATGCCTGTCGTTGGCTTTTACCCTTGAGCACCATACAGGCGACAGTACGATTTAGCTCAGGACTTAGGTCTATCCGCCACAACGTTCAAGAGACTTTCTTCCAGTCTTTCAATGCTTACAACTCTTCGTTGGCAAGCATCATGCCTAGTGACGTTGTGGGCTGTTCCGGAAGTTAACTGAAACTTCTGTGATCCAGCATTCGTCGATCAGGAAACTGCGTGTGATACATTCGCAGCTCGGCTCTTCCATCATCATTTGCATGATTACACATCTAATTCATGTCTTCTTTTTCAGCATACATAATGTCTTCCATCATGCTTTCCCTTACGAAAATGCATCATGTTGAATGACGGTAAGTTATCTACTGACCCCTACCGGACACGTAACTAACCAACAACTCCATTTTTCTTTTCTTTTACTTCCACGGTTTGCGCCCTTACTATACAATAATTTATTGTTACAATGTCACCACCATGAATTCGAAGTTATCCTGCATTTGCTTTTACCGGTGATTTCAGTTTTAAAATTGATTTATGTTACGTGATATAATTTAATGCGTTTCAATTCATTATTAAGCATTTAAAAATATCTAAGCATTCTTGGGAAAAAAGAATTATTTACTAATAATTCTGAGGATATTTGAAGAAAATAATTTTATTATATTATATTCTAATCCTGAGGAATGAATATTATAATTTTATTATATTATATATAATTCTCTGAGGAGAGAATATTATAATTTTATTATATTATATTCTCAAATTTGGGGGAAAGAATATTAAAATTCTAATAAAAATATACAGGTAAAGAAGGACTTATAATATTAGACCACTAATATTATTACTATGCAAAAATATTTATTTGAAAGAACTTCCCTTACCATCTAAAAGAATCTATCAAAATCATCCATACATAATAATATGCTTTAAGAAAAGTATATTGAAAGGTAAAGCAGTTTTTAAGAAGGACCCAAAGAAAAATACAGCTTGAAGCCATGTTCGGCTAAACATGCGAAGTATATTTTGAGATTATTGTAAACAAGTAATACAAAAAAAATAGTTTTTAAGTCAATTCCTATTTAGATCAACAACGAAAAATTTTATTTTAGCTACTTTTTATTAAATAGTTACAATTAATATAAATATGTATACACATAGGACAGAATCACAACATTAAATGGTAATTAGTTTTTTTAATTATCATTAAAGAATCGTATTGTCCTTTGCAGTCCAACTGAATACTACTAACACGTGAGAAAAAAACTTTTTTCAAGTTTTGACACAAGTCGCCAAAATGGTCGCTAAGTCGCCAACGTGGCTGTATTTGTAATTCTTTAAATAAATAGTTTTAATCAATTAATTTTTATTAATTATTATTATATTATTGCATTGCCAACCAAAATGATCCTGTATATAAAATTTCAGCTCAATTCAGCGCTTTAAAATGTATTTTATTAACGATTGAAAATTCCAACAAGATAAATAAATAAACATACAAATATATAAATAAATAAATATATAGACAGTGAGAGCTAATAATAGGAATAGAAAAAAAAAACTAAAAAGCACCTTCGACATCTAATGCAAAATATTTTTTCTTTAGCTAAAATGTTTTATATTCCTCTATCCGTTTGCATCTATAAATCTCAATTCAATGCGCAGTTTTTTTGAATTGTGGAAATATTTCGACCTAATAATAATCGATAGCCCAAAATATATTTCCCAAAATGTTATGCTTAGAAATGCTACATTTCCTTTTTCAGCACTTAATATAATACATTCTATTTCAATACAAAAGGTAAAACATTGTGCATAGAAGCGAATTTTCCGAATATTTTCAGTAAGAAACGAAACAAAATATATGACGCCTTACAGACAAGTAGTCATTTCCAGTGATTTGACATTTTCGCATAATGCATTATATAGATCAGAAACCTATTTTTACGAGTTTTGACTGTGATGAAACGCCAAGCCTCATCTAATAAATCCGATATTCCACAGAGATTTTTATCCCGCTTCTAGGAATTGTAAGAATAAAAATTCTGCTCACACAGACCGGAGGCCAACTCAACTATGGAGGATGAATGTAAGAACTGTTGCTTTCAACACACCCTGACTGAATTCCTACATTATTTTTTATTATTCTTCGCTCGTGTGTGATGGCTGATAAATGACCATAGGATGTCCGTTTCCCTCGACTTTTTGGTGATGTGAGGGAAAACCTATATTAAATTTCCATTCGTATATTGTGATTTATAGTATGGATATTGATAAATGATTTTTTCGCCGGTCATAGTATTTACAAATCTAAAATTAATATATTTCATTTATTTTAATATTTTTATAATAAATTTTTTATTGCACTAGAAATTGATGATAACTGTAACAAATATCACATTATTATAAAAATATTTTGAAAACGTTATTTAAAAACGAGAGTAGTATAAAAAATTTTTTAAGTCATTTCCTACTTAAGTCAACAAAGGAGAAATTTTAATTTAGTTACTTTTTTTACTAAATAGTTACAATTATATAAATATGAATATACATATGACAGAATCACAATATTAGAGTGTCAAAATAGAAAGCGATTTCCCTTGCAATTTTCCTTTTCAATGTGTATGAGATTGTTGGAATATTTTTTTTGCTTGTTACGATTTATTCATTATTTAAATGTAATCATTCTAATAAAATATTGCTGTAAAAAAGATATCACATTCTCAGAATTTAGGACATCAGAAGGGATTCAGAAACCACGACAACTGTGAATTAGAAGGGAGGGAACACAATGAAAGATTTTTCACTTTCCTTTATGCTGTTGGACTATTCTTTTGTTTTACATTTTATTTATTCATTTTTTAATTTAGTTAATGAATTAATTATGAAAAACTATATATTAACATCAAATGTCATCCACTATAAAATAAAAAAAATGTATTTGAACTTGAATGGATGGATAGAAAAGTATTATTTTATCAATAACGATTGTAAATTTGAGACAAGATATATGTACATGTGTATATATATATATATCTAGTGAAAAAAAAATGAACTAATAGTAGGAATTGAAAAAAGTTTACATTTACTGTGGGAAATATTTAAATAATAAACTGCTGTTTTTACTTAAGAAATTATGTCAATTATCTCAATATGCATATATGAAACGCTTTTTTTAAAACAGTCAGAGTTTAAAAAAAAATATGAAAGAACTGATATTTTGTATAACCTATAATAGCTGTAATCCGAATTAGTACATTGTTTATTTTCATTTACTTTATTTATTTTACTTTTTATTTTAGGCAGAAGGACTTTTAAAATAGACCTTCTTAAAAGTAGGTAGACTTTTTAGAAATTCTACCAGCTCTACCAAATTAATAGTACTTTATTGTATCTGTGAGGGCACCTATATCAAACAAGAATAAAATGTTTTCAACTTTGAAATTTCCTTGTTTATGTAGATTATCTTTTTATTCATATAGTTCAGCTTTGTAACTACACTAGATAAGAGAGGAATATCATAGGGTTATATAAAATAGCACTTTTTTTTTTTGTTGAGAAAATCCACAAATTCAGGTACAGAGGCATACAATAAATTTTAAAATGTAGAAGTGAATGTACTTTTATATACTATATTATTCCATACCAACCTCAAGCGAAGGTCACATCCCTTCAATTAATATAATCAGAGGAAATTTATTTCTACTTAGACTCTAAAACTAAAACTAAACGAATTTTTTTTTCTAATTTTCCTCTAATTTTTGATAAAAAGTAAAAGTTAATCTGTTTCGGTTCTAAATACTTCCATTACTCAACTTCACTAAAATTAATTTTAAGTATGAAGTATTTATGTAAAAAAAATAATACATTATAAAAAAATGTGTGCGTATTTTCATGTAGAAGCAAGCACTTTCTACAATTGGTGAATAATTTATCATATTTCTTTTGACTGGTGAATTTAAAATCAAAATTTAGTATATTTAATTTAAATTTAATTTTCCTGGGTTTTTTTTATATCTTTTAAATTTTGAATTTTTATTAGATTTTTGTTTTTGAAAAGGTAATTTTTTTCTAATTATGTTTAACCAGAATGAAAAGGTATACACAGAATTGTAAGGAATTTTTTCAAAGAAGCCATTTAATCTCAAGAAAATACACAAGTTAAAACAAAATTTTATTTTAATTTTTTTATGTATAAGATTGATTCTTTTAAGAAATTAATAATTTTAACTTCATATTATAATATCTCACTCCCATATTT